ATTGTGAGGGATGCGGAGAGCTAAGCATAGGAATGCAATATATTTGAAGCCTTGTGTCTTCTTTAAGACCACAAAAGAGAACCTTTGTTTTGTTTAAACAAAGTTTAAATTTTCAGTTTCCTATTCCAGTACTTATGTGCATTCCCTGAGGGGCTTCCAAGTTGCACATCTCATGCAGTACAGCTGTAATCTGAATCCTTCACCGGGCAGAACATATTTTGAACCCTGAGGTGTAAGACATGACATCCCACACCATTTCACGTACAGAAGACACTCAGATGGGTGGCTGAGTCTTGCTTAGGGCACCCGATGCAGGCTACAGCATCTTCTGCCTGAGATGGCCACTTCCTGTTGCTGCACTGGATGAAACAAGCCACAGTCTGGTTTGTTACATCATCCAAACCTGGGACTGTGGTTTTTTCTCTCCCAAACAAACCTACAGTGGTAGCCAAGGTCTGTTCCTGGCTTATGACATGACAAGTCTGACCATGGCCTGTTTCATTTAATCATAATCTGCAAGAGCTCTTGACAATTCAGCACACCTTCGGTATCTTAACAATTTAACTAATTAGAGGGGGAGTTTACCTGCTGCACTGAATGCAGCGATGTGATAGGGTAATTGAATATTTGAAAACTGTATTTAAGTTAACCAAATGTTTTGTATGGTGGTGTAGTGTGAACTGTTGAGGAATGGTGGTGAGAAGGGGTGTTTTTGCAGCGGTTGATTTATTATCTATTCGAAAATAAAAAGTAAGCAAAGATATTGTAGGCAAGTTTTTATTCCATCACCCCAGTCGCTGCCCAAACTCGGCTGGCACAGATGCCCAACAGGGTGGGGGTTACGTCATGAGCATGCTATTTGTTCACAATAAGCCATTTTATTTTAAAAGGTGGTTTAATGTATGGCATGTGAATCAGACCATCAGCATAAAGATAAAGGTAAAGGGACCCATGACCACTAGGTCCAGTCGCGGATGACTCTGGGGTTGCAGCCCTCATCTCGCTTTATTGGCCAAGGGAGCCGGCGTACAGCTTCCGTGTCATGTGGCCCGCATGACTAAGCCACTTCTGGCGAACCAGAGCAGCACACGGAAACGCTCCCGCCGGAGCGGTACCTATTTATCTACTTGCACTTTGACATGCTTTCGAACTGCTAGGTTGGCAGGAGCAGGGACCGAGCAACGGGAGCTCACCCGTCATGGGGATTCAAACCACTGACCTTCTGATCGGCAAGTCCTAGGCTCTTTGGTTTAACCCACAGCGCCACCCACGTCCCTTTTGACCATCAGCATACCCTTGCATAAATACCCACAAGTCTGAAAAGGCTTGGAGTTTTAGGAACCATTGCCCACTAACATCATGCATTAAAGAAATGATGGAAACACTTGGGTGAACCAGCCCAAGGTGTCACCTCTTTAAGCTCCAGATGTTGATGGCATGCCCTACCTATGCTTCCAAAATGGGTGTACTCAATGTGCACCATCCTGACCCCTTTTGTTTTTTGCCCAGCACCACAAGACGCCACTAAATTGACATCCATTATGTTAGTACGTGAGAGCACTACTGTATCTGACCAAAGTCCCATCTAGTCCAATGTTCTGTTACCAAAATGGACATCCATAGATCTGTTGGAAGCCCACATACAAGAAATGAACACAATAGCCATCTCTTGCTCAAGCTCTCCACTTTAACTGGTATTCAGAGCCCTAGTGTCTCCAATACTGGAAGTAACATATATCCTCCAAGACAAGCAGACATTTGCAGCTTTTCCCTTCATAAATATGTCAAATCCACATTTAATGTCTGATCAATCAACGCCTATTGATTGACTCCTGTCACACATACAGAAGGTGTCTATTCCTTTTTTAAACAAAAACTGGAGGCAACACTTCTGCCAAAAATGTCAGCACTGAAACATTTGCAATTTCTTTTGATGGCAAGACCTGCATTTTCCCTTACAAAGTCTTTGAAGATATGTGTTTTTGACTGCATAGCAAGTGTGACCAACTTCAGGGTTTACTAAATGGATGTCTTTTGTTAGTCAAGTATCAACTTAAAAAAAAAAAAAAACTTTTTCAGTTTCAACAGGGAGGGGTGAAAGCCAGGTCTGAACTTTTGCTTCTAAATAAGCAAAAATAGAATTTCCTGATTCTGTGTAAGAAAATAAATACTTGACCTTTGCCATAAAAGCAATGGGGCAGTGATTGGGTGGAGGACTCAGCCCTCAAGTGAAACTGAAGATATTGCATTCACTTACGAAGATATTAGACACAATTCAGTAGGCACGTCTTCACTCAAGGGCTACTGTGGAAGACCCATTCATTTAAATAGAGCCTGCGCTAGAAAAACTCCCACTGGAATGAGTCCTTGTAACCCTGCCCTCACACACACCCAACAGATTGATGCAAAGACAAATCTCTTTTGATAGATTTTCTGGTTGATCACTGCAGACCTTCAGCATCTCCCAGCAAGGTTCAAAGACACTAATTCAGCACGGTGTCTGAATTCAGCATCCAGTCTGGGCTGGCTGCTGTTCTCCCTTTTACAAGACATCACAAATACCAAGGACAACTCAGCTTTAAACTGATGGGGAGGGGGGCCTTTCTGGATTTAAGTCTCTTTCTTGCAGTCACTTTATTTTGCAAGGCCCTAATATTCATTTTCATGCTTCATGGTTTCCTTTCTTTAGAGGGGATGCATGCATGTTGCCATTTGTTGATTTACAGTTTGCCTTTGATTGAGGCGTAGGGCACTTCACATTATTTTATTATCTAAAGTGCAAACACCCAACATATTTTCACTGCTGTGCACATATTCTTCTTTGCAAATCAATGTTTCGCAGCTGCCTGGATCACAAGAGCCATCCGCTGTTATTGATCTGCTCATATTTTTTTGTTCTATTGACTGTGCCATCTCCGACTCCACAGAGTTCCTTTCATGGCCAATGATGCACTGATTATATTAGGTTTCTGTGTTTAACAGAAAGGACCTTTATAAACATAAGAGTCAAATCAATAAAGTCAGTGAACCCACACAGCAGTAGAAGTTAAGAAGAGTGTTTATATAATTACTATGAGCTCAAAAAGGGTAACACGCATTATTGAAGTACTTCTTGCAACAGTCCTGCAAAGCAGGCCAGTATCATCCACCTCACTGTACACTTTCTGAGCAGCAAGCCCCACTGAATTTATCCATTTGTCCTGTGCTTAGAAAACATGCCTCTGAGCAGTTTTCTGCTTGTGCTGTTCTTTCTAGACACAGGTTTGAGTAGTTTTACCACTCCCTTCTGGAAAACCCGCTCTCTAGAGCTAAATCGGAACAAAAGGCAATCCGTAGAAAACCCAATTCCCGTTTGCTCCAATTCAGCAATAAACAGTGGGTTTTCCTGGGGGGAAGTGGTAGGGCAAACAGAAGCATGGAAAGAAGCAAGGCAAAGGCAAAACCACTTGGAGCCATGCTTTCTAAGCATGGGACAAGGAGAAGTGTGATGAGTCCATACTCTTGACTAGACACATTTAGGATTGTGCTGCAAGACAATACTTGTCTTAAGACTATTCATGACAGAGCTGAGAGTTTAACAACTTCCAGCTCATCTTCTTAACCACAGACATGAACTCTACAAGAACTCTCAGCCTGAATTCTTAGAACACCACCGTTCTCCACAAGCACAATAGTTTTATTCCAATGGGATTCCTTTCTGAGTTAAATCTACTGGTGCACACAGAGTGGGAATCATTAAAGCTAACATCCTACCAGATGTCCAAGGCCAATTCCCACATCCATGCAATGAGGCCTTTTGTCTAGGGTTGAGATACACCCGGCAACCCTACATCTAGCAGCCAATGCTGGCTGTACCGCTTTTCCATAAAAGTAGCTCAACAACTTTGCTAAAAAAACACAACAACTTTTCTGTCCAGATTTACAGTGGTACCTCGGTTAAGTAATTAATTTGTTCCGGAGGTCTGTTCTTAACCTGAAACTGTTCTTAACCTGAAGCACTACTTTAGCTAATGGGGCCACCACCGGAGCACGATTTCTGTTCTCATCCTGAAGCAAAGTTCTTAACCCAAGGTATTATTTCTGGGTTAGTGGAGTCTGTAACCTGAAGCGTATGTAACCTGAGATACCACTGTACACTGTTTGAAATACGGTAACCCTACTTTAGTTCCTATTATGGATTGCAGCTCTTGTACCGTACAGTATTGACAGGTGGTCTCAAAATGTCCCCCATTGATTTGGAAGTTATTTGGCAGGTTGCATAAAATAATGAAATCAGAGTCCCCGGTACAGAGAGTGATATGGTTACTTTATAGCAGTTTGCCTTATGGTGAAGTCGTATAAAGGTAGTCAAGGTGTATTGCAACACTTGGGTGGAGGAGGTGTGCATGCACACTGAAAGTACAGGGAAGTGAGGGCAACTGGTCGGATGTGTTGTGTTGTGTTGTGTTGTTGGCAATAGATGGCTGACATTCTGCAACTGATCCCGAGGGTGAGGAAAGAGTTAGGAGATCATAAAAAGTGAGTGGTCAAGCCACACGTCTATCATTTGCATGTCTTCCATAAGAGTATTCTTGGGCTGGATTTAGTATTACAGTGGTACCTCGGGTTACAGACACTTCAGTTTACAGATGCTTCAGGTTACAGACTCTGCTAACCCAGAAATAGTACCTCAGGTTAAGAACTTTACTTCAGGATGAGAACAGAAATCAGGCAGCGGTGGCAGCGGGAGGCCCCATTAGCTAAAGTGGTACCTCAGGTTAAGAACCGTTTCAGGTAGAGAACGGACCTCCGGAACGAATTAAGTTCTTAACCCGAGGTACCACTGTTGTTCCACTCTTCACATAATTGGGAACTGGTTTTGTTTTTGTTTTGTTTTTGCAATGCTGTGTTAACCCTATTGATTCCTGTTAAAACCTAGAACTATTAAATCAAAGTGTATAGAAGGTGGGAAACAAACAGAAAGTAAAGTTTCTTTTTTTATAATATTTTTTATTAATTTTAACATATAAATTATAAAATGTACCACAAAACTTATCACTTACACAATCTTTTTAGGCTTCCATCAGCACCTCTGATGATCCAAGTAAAGTTTCTAAAGTGGTATGACAGACTACCACAAATGGCATGCCGACAAGATACCCACATGCACAAGATATCTTAAGATGTCTCCTTTCCTTTTCTTGGTACTGGATTCTTTTTGTAAAAGCTGCATTGTTAAGCCAAGACTGTGCTGTGCCATTCAGACTGCGACAGCCTGTAATTCCCATGCAATATCTTTACATGAGCAAAAGCTGGCTACTGTTGTCTCATTTTACATTCATTCAACACCAAAAAAGATGCAATATGCTGAGATGATTTTCTACCTAATCAACCCACTTCAAAATGATTTGCCTCCTCAAAGTCCATGCCTTCCTAAACCAATTAACTGGCTGAAAAGGGAAAGAATATCTGACTCATTTCATCACTAGGAAAGGATATATACCAGGTTGAATAGCACACTGCTATATTAATATCAGGGTAGCGTAATTGCAAAGAATTTCTGTAACTGGAAGGAGTTCAGCAAACTGGGCCCCAGTAAATGATTTTTGTATTATTTAACAGCATTTTTAAACCACTTACTATTTAAAATACAACACCAAAAACACAGCTTCATAAAAAAAGAGATACACAACATAAAATCCAGTGACACGGTATTCTGAAACTAGATAAAAACAAGAATTCAATAGCAGGAATTTGCAGAACTGGCTCTGAACATTTTAAATGCTGAACTTTTGGGTTAATGATAATGTAACTATTTCAGTTCATCATTACTTACACACACAGCTCTGTAATATGCATAGATTGTTCCCTGCAACCCGCTCAACTCCAAGGCAGAAGGAACAATCCATGTTCAGACCAAACGTGTGTTTGCTTGCCTGGATAGAGGACAGAGAAGTACATACGAATCTGTAGAAATTAGCCTACTGGCATTTGTTTCTCTGCCCACTTTTGCTTCTGGCCCCTAGGAAGTTGCCCAAAATCGAATGTGGCCCTCGAGCTGAAAAATATTTTCCTATCCCCGGTCTAGAGAAACATGGAACGGGTTGCAACTTTTCTTTCGAGAAGGGGGGTTTCCATTATGAGCCCCATCTCCGGTGTCTTTGTCAATTTGCATTAATCTTGAACTGCAGGGCACTGTGTTAGGTGCCATTAACACAAGCTGGCCATCAAAACAGACCCACTTTGCAAAGCTTTTTTGATTACTATACAGAAGCACACAGTTAAACTATTTAATTCCTATTAGCTTTAAAAGCTTGTATGGGGGACTGTAGCCTGTATACTGTCTCTTTTTAAAGCATCACTTTTTATGATTAATAGCAAACTTATTCAAAATCTAGCCACGTTGCTTATTTAAGTGGCCTTTAAACAATTTGCAATCTATTATATTTATTTATTTATTTAAAAAAAAAAATAGAATGGCCCTCTTAAGACCTCCTCAAAGGATTCTGCTCCCTACACTCTGACTGTATTCAAAGCACAGCCAATTAAGAAACCACAAATGGGTTAATAGTTGGCTTAATGGTTTAGTGATGCTTCTTAAATTCCCCGCTTCTACATTTTGCAATGGATTCCATATGAGATGGTCAGGCTTCATCTGAATGTCTGATTTCCAGTAATCCCAAGGTTTAGAGAAGCACACACACAAAAAGGTCATGAGAAAAATCCCAAAGAAGGAGATAGCTGCAAAACAACCCAATAAGAACTTTGGTACCTTGTTGGCCACTATAGGAAAAGGACACTGGACTAATTGGTCTTTGGTCTCATCCAAGAGGGCTCTTATATTCTTTTTTTAAAAAAAAAGCAAAAATGGGGAGGGGGAAACTGAATTCCCAATGAGGTCTGAGCATGCTCAGTAGGAATTTAATATTGACTAAGAGGGAGGTGAGAGAGGGGAAATGGGCGAGAGTGGAATGCAGGAGCTGGAAACTTGAACAGAAGCATTCTATACTGTAACATTTTGTTGCCGACCAAGACTAGTACTTGCAAACAGCCAAAGCTGGGGACATGCTATAAACTCCCCAGAGGCACCTGGCCATCCTTTGTTAGAATATTGGGTGAGACGGACCTTAGTCTGATTTAGCAAGATACACCTTATATTTCTAAACCCCCTGAGCTAACAAGGATTAAGAAGACAATGAATTCACTTCACTCCTCAATCATGCTAAGTGGCATCTCTCACATTATGGCTTTTATCCTCTAGCTGACTTTTATTTGCATCTAAGTGCTTTGCTGCATCCTCAGCCTACATCACGCACCATCACAAAATGCACAGGATTCCCTGCAGTAGTTCTGTAAGTGAATTCCACAGGTCCATTTATCAGCATACAGAATGTCCGCCTTCCACCTAAATAAGGTTTTCAAATGGGAAAGAGAACCAGGACAAGCTTTCAGAATTCATTGAGACTAAAGTGAAAAGCTCAGGATTGCATCCTCCTCCCCTTTCCCATTCACTCCTGATCAAAAGCGTTTTCTTTCATGTCTATGAAAGTGTTCCTTACAGTGCTAAATCTCTGGAGAAGGAGCTGTTAAATCTGCTCTATGATACAGCAAGGAGAAATGATCCCAGACTTTCACAATAATTTTTATGGTGGGAAATAAGTTCAGTATATATTGCGCGCACACAAACACACACAGAGAGAGAGAGAGAGAGAGAGAGAGAGAGAGAGAGAGCTTGAGGCATGATAACTTCTAGCAGGGATGGGGAACCTGCAGTGCTCTACATTTGGCCCTACAGTGGTCCTTATTTGGCCCACAATTTCCTCTTTTCTCTCCTGTAGCTCACCTGCCCCACACCTGATGCCTTATGACATGAATGCTCTCAGCTGCAAAGGACAATTGGGAACCTCAGAGTGCACTCCCAATTGTTCCCCTGCAAGTGGGACTTGCATTTGGCACCAAACACAAACCCTACTGGGACTGACTCTGCACAGGAACTCCTGATCCAAGCTCCCAAGTGATCTTGGTCAAAAGCAGGGATTACATTTGGGACTGAAAGCAAGCTCCACCTTTAGTAAGAATCTGAGCAATCCCAAATTCAAGATGAGTCTCCAAAGGTAAAACGGAAGAATCTGGGGTGAGAGCTTAACACTGAACAGGCACTCAAGAGTTGTGTGTGTGTTTTCTGTATTCACTTTGAATATTCAAACAAGCCCATCCAATTTTGCAAAGAATATTCCAAATCTCTTATAAAATAGAGATAGGCTGTCCTACAAGCTGCTCTCAAATGGCCAGATGTGTGCTTAATTTGATTATCTTGTCCCTGCTCTGTTTTTTTGGCCACCCATTTTTCTCATTTCATATTCTCAGCCTTCTCTGCCCAATTACCTATAAAAGCTAAGAGGTTTGTATTTGCATCGTTTGGAAGAGGCTAGGACAGTTCAGTAAATTGTAGTGAATTTTTTAAAAACATGTGCTGTTGATACTGCTGCTAAGTCTGCTCTCAATTTTCTAAAACAGAGATTCAGCTATAAAGTTGTTTTAAGATTCAGATATAAGGTAGTCATAGTAAAACCCAACATTTTCAGTTTTTATAAAAACATTTTCAGTTTTTATAAAGAAAACAGCAGGCGACTGAATTTTTCCTACAGGCCAAGCCATAGTGCATTTCCAAAGGAAAGAGAAATCTTAAAATCCATCAAGTATCAATATCAATTTTGCAAGAGAAAACAATGAAGACTTTTTATCCTGCTAATTTCTAGTCCTTGTCTTGCAACTATATGCATGCAGATTTAAGGAGAAATCTGATAAAGCAGATGGGGAGCCACATGTAGAAGCCAACACAGCTGATCCAAATACCATAAAAGCAAACAAAAGCAATTTAAAGCCTTGAGCTCAGCTGCTTCCTCTAGCAGTACTGAGCACATGAGCTGCTCCTGCTGCCAGATTCATTGCAAGCAGCTATGTCTTCAGGGACAGAACTGGAGGGTTTCTGGAGCACTGTCGCAACTGCTGCTTAACCCACTATAGCAGCAAAACAATAGTGCCAGGGAGGGGGAAAAATGCCTCCGGAATGGAAATCAAGGCACAGGAATCACAACCTTACTTCCATGTTGGAGAAAAGGTGAAACTTGACTTAATTGCCTTGGATTAAATTCCATAAACAAGCAGAAGTAAAATTCTAGCTTTTATTATAAAAAGGTAAAGGGACCCCTGACCATTAGGTCCAGTCGTGGCATAGCTAGCCACAAAATAACTGAATACTGGTTGGGGAATGGGGGAACTATGTTAACTATGTAACCAAAACACAATGGTACTCTTACAAAGAACATTGAAAGCTTAGTGGTGTGGTTGTACAAATTCTTCAGGACTGAAGTTTAGAAAAGACATGGGATGATGTTGCACTGTAAAAAAATCTGATATAAACATGCCCACTCATATTACATCCACCCAGTGTAGACACACACAGAACTGTGGTGTGGACAATACAGAACCAAATGGAGTAATGATCTGATTCCGTATAAGGCAGTTCCTTGCATTTCTAAATTAAAGGAATGTAAAGTGTATTTAGTACAATGCTATAACTAAAATGAAAACGGAGTAACCAAGATTAGCAGTAGAGGTTCACATACCTAGAGTAAACAGTGTAGAGACCAATGGATGGCACAATAAAATGAAAGGGGCTTTATATCAACTTAGATCATTGGTCCATCCATGACCAAATATCACCTACTCTGTCTGCTAGTAGATTCTCAGCATCAAACAGGTTTTTTTCAGCCTTGCTCCCAAAGATTTGGAGATGCCAGGGGATTAAACATCATCATTCATAGCATGCACCTGACCACCAAGCCTAATGCTGTCCAAAGGCACATATCATGCTATGAATTCTCTAGTTGGCCTTGGTAAGGCACTCACAGCTTCAGTTCTCCAGCTATACAGAGGAGAGTGTCATGCATTTTACAAGTTTGTTGATAATGTGAATGATATAATGTCCGTAAAGTGAATGCTCTATATTATTAATGTGTAGAAGAAAAAGAAGAAGAAGAAGAAGAAGAGTTTGGATTTGATATCCCGCCTTTCACTCCCTTTAAGGAGACTCAAAGCGGCTAACATTCTCCTTTCCCTTCCTCCCCCACAACAAACACTCTGTGAGGTGAGTGGGGCTGAGAGACTTCAGAGAAGTGTGACTAGCCCAAGGTCACCCAGCAGCTGCATGTGGAGGAGCAGAGACTCAAACCCGGTTCCCCAGATTATGAGACTACCACTCTTAACCACTACACCACACTGGCTCTCAAGTCAAATGTCAGTGTGGTCCCCTCAAGGTGATTAGCGATTGAAATTAGAGACCTTTCAGGTGCATTACATATGACATGAGGTGCTGGCACTACTCATGCTAGATCTCAAAAACTTAAAAGCACCCTTTACTTTCTCCTGTTAAGGAATCCTTGCACTGTTTCTAGGTCACTAATAAATTAAAGAGTAAGTTCTAAAAGTGCAAACCCCAGCAATCCTGCAGCAAGCCTCTTTTCCCGTTTATGGTTAGCAAATAACTTCTTACCACTCGCAGAGCCCTAACAATAAAAGGGAATTTGAGGAGGAAATCAAATTGGAACCATCACTCAACGGTTCACATCTCTTAAAAAGTAGCCGAATCTACTGATTAAAAAAAAACAAACCATTTACAGCAGTTCCATTTACAGTTATGAAATATTACCTTGAACTACCTTCCTTCTAGTGGAAGAGATAAGAGGATTCAACAAAGCTTGTAGTCCATACAGTTTGTCCCCTAAAAACTGCCTGGGCCATCAATGAGTTGACTGTGTGTCTAATGAGCTAAGCATCAAAAAGTGATTTTATTTTTTAAAATGCAGTTTAACCACTCACTCAATAGAGGAAATGTGAGGAGGTTAATTTTATACGTTTCCTCCTCCTCCTCCTATTATTATTATTATTATTAAATATTGTAAGCATGTAAGTAGCAGTTATCATTAATATAGATTTGTGCGAACCTCTCTGAGTGAGCAGAATAAAAATGTCATGAATAAATATGCCAATGATAGCTCTCTAACCACACAGAGGTGGCATTTGCCTTCCAGCAGGCTAGACCCCACCTCCCCTCACTCCGAGCAGAGTTCTGCAATATTTACCAATCCAGCCCCAGAGCTTTTGTCAGCGGAAAAGTTGTTTTCAAACAGCTTTCTAAATACGAAAATCAAACAAGCCTAAAAGGCCTCCTTAGAAGAAAACAGACAAATTCCTGGAGGATAAGGCTACTAGCCATGATGGCTATGTGCTGACTCCACTGCAATATGCCTCTGAATGCCAGTTGTAGGGAATCACAGGTAGAGAGAGAGTTGCACTCAGGTGTTACTTACAGGTGTCACATCATCTGCTTGGCCACTGTAAGATTATTATTATTATTATTATTATTATTATTATTATTATTATTTATTTCTACCTCGCCCATCTGGCTGGGTTTATCCAGCCACTCTGGGCAGCTCCCAACAGAATATAAAAAATGGGGGGGGGACTTCAAACATTAAAAACTTCCCTTAAAAGGGCTGCCTTCAGATGTCTTCTAAAAGTCAGATAGCTGTTTATTTCCTTGACATCTGATGGGAGGGCGTTCCACAGGGTGGGCACCACCACTGAGAAGGCCCTCTGTCTGGTTCCCTGTAACCTCTGTCTGGTTCCCTGTAACCTCACATCTCACAGTGAGGGAACCACCAGAAGGCCCTCAGCATTGGACCTCAGTGTCCGGGCTGAATGATGGAACAGAGTGCTGGAACGGTGGTCCCTGGCCCGAGCCAGCATGGCTCTTCTTAGGCTCTTCAATTCAATAATAAGGGGATCTCTTTTGAAAACAGCTGATTACACATATGATCCATTTACTTTTGATGAATGCTTCCAGATCCACCTTGCCTCAAGATGGAGTCTTGTTCCAGGGCACCAAACAAGGCGGGAATTCTTTTTCATTCCTCCAAGGTCTCATTGTCTTCCCAAAAACAAAATTTATTGTTACTTTTTTACAGTACTTGCTTTTCTCAGTGCCAACTGCTCATAATCTCATATTATGTATTCTCATTTCCAGTGGTGCTAGTCTTTTCAAATTGGTTTGGTACAGACATATTGTACCAGATATTGCTCAACTACAAGTCCCATCAGACCCAGTAAGCATGGCCAATGTTCAGGGATGATGGGGGTTCTGGTTCAGCAAGAACTGGGAGGCCAAAGGTTCCTTACACCTGCTTTGGACGATTAGGCTTGCAGTTTCTGAACAAAAAGACTCACACGTTAATAAAATATTTCTCTTTCTTTCCCTCCAAGTCACTTCACTTAATTTTTTTAAAGAAAAAACCTTCAGCATAATCCCCAATGACATTGCATTATTTTTCCACGCCCAGACAGACAGAAATAAGACAGTAAATCAGTTTGGAAGCACACAATGTGCCATCATGCAGGCCAAGTCAAGAGGCACATAAGTTTTATAAGACAAGTAACCTTCTGGGAATCAAGATCCTCACTGGCTGTCTTCAACTACAATCCAAAATCAAAGTTTACTTTAGACATGGCAAGAAGAGAGACACTGTATAGCCAGCAAAGGCAAACAATTCACCCATAGGCAGCAGGCCATACTACTGCAATTAGATGAACTCAACAATAACAGAAGTCACTTAAAAAAAGAAAAAGATTCAAA